CAGCCCATCTGATTGCAGCATGGTTTAAATGTGTCCCCTCAATGGCGATGCACCTGTTACCCGAGAGCTCTGAAGGGGAGGTACATGGATGAGTGTTGTCTTCATGCCTGACAGCACAGATCAGTTCTGCAGCACGTGGGTCAGGAGTAATCTTGACTTTCAATTCTTATTCTTTAAGAAGTACATTTTACAAGTGTTTCACTGCCATGCGTCATTGTGTTTCTGATGGATCTAGGCCAAGTAAGTTAACCTTCGGGAAAGGACTCACTGTTTAAGATGCCATTAAGAACATTTGTGCACCAAAATAGACTTGTAGACCAATGATACAGAATAGCGGACACAGAGACTAACCCACATAATTACAGTTACCTTATATTAGACAAAGGCACCAAAAACATATTGGAGAAAGGATAGCCTCTTCAACAAATGGTACTGGGAAAACTGGAAATCCATCTGCAACAAAATGAAATTTAAACCCTTATCTCTCACCATGCACAAAACTCAACTCAAAGTGGATCAAGGACATAGGAATTAAACCAGAGACACTGTGTGTATTAGAAGAAAAAGTAGGCCCAAATCTTTATCATGTCGGATTAGGCCCCAACTTCCTTAATAAGACTCCTATAGTACAAGAATTAATATTAAGAATCAATAAATGGGATGGATTCAAACTAAAAAGCTTCTTCTCAGCAAAAGATACAATCAGTGAGGTGAATAGAGAGCCTACTAATTGGGAACAAATTCTTTTTTTTCAATATTTATTTTTTAGTTATAGTTGGACACAATACCTTTATTTTATTTATTTTTTTCTATGCCTTGCTGAGGATCGAACCCAGGGTCTCGCACATGCTACCACTGAGCCATAACACCAGTCCCTGGGAACATCTTACCACACACACGTTAGGTAGAGCATAATCTCTAGAATACATAAATAACTCAAAAATCTTAACACCAAAAAGCAAATAATCCAATCAATAAATGGGTCAAGGAACTGAACAGATACTTCTCAGAAGAATATATATAATCAATCAACAAATATATGAAAAAATGTTCAACATCTCTAGTAATTGGAGAAATGCAAATCAAAATTACTCTAATATTTCATCTCACTCCAGTCAGAATGGCAGCTATTAAGAATACAAACAACAATTAGTGTTGGTGAGGATGTAGGAGAAAAAGAGACACTCATACATTGCTGGTGGGGCTGCAAATTGGTGCAGCCAATTCTCCAAAGCAATATGGAGAATTCTTGGAAAACTTGGAATGGAACCACCATTTGACTCAGCTATCCCACTCCTCGGTCTATACCCAAAGGACTTAAAAACAACATTCTACGGGAACACAGCCACATCAATGTTTATAGCAGCACAATTCACAATAGCTAAACTGTGGAGCCAAACTAGATGCCCTTCAGTAGATGAATGGATAAAGAAAATGGAATATTATTCAGCAGTAAAAGAGAATAAAATCATGGCATTTGCAGGTAAATAGATGGGACTGGAGAATATAATGCTAAGAGAAATAAGTCAATCTGAAAAAAAATGACAAAAGATTTCTCTGATTTAAGGAGACTGATTCATAATATGCTACAGGGTATATTTTTTATAATACAGATAGGAGGATTAAATGAACTCTAGATAGGGCAAAGGGGAAAAGGGGAGGGAAAAAGAGAGCCTACTAATTGGAAACAAATTCTTACTACACATCAGATAGAGCACTAACTCTAGAATATATAAAGAACTCAAAAATCTTAACACCAATAAAACCAAATAACCCAGTCAATAAATGGGCCAAGGAACTGAACAGACACTTCTCAGAAGAAGAAATGTAATCAATCAACAAATATATGAAAAAATGTTCAAAATCTCTAGCAATTAGAGAAAAAGGGGAAGAGAGGGAAAGATGGTGGAATGCGATGGTCATCATTACCCTAAGTACATGAAGGATGTGACTCTACTTTGTGTACAACCAGAGATATGAAAAATTGTACTCTATATGTGTAATATGAATTATAATGCATTCTGTTATCATATAACATATTAAAACTTTTAAAAATTTTTTTAAAAGAACATTTGTGACTGGTGGGAGGAGGTCTCAGTATCAGCATTAAGATAGGTTTTCAAGTTCATTCCAAGTTCATTTCTCATGAGAGCTTTAGGGGGTTCAACACTTCAGTGGGGGAAATAACTTGCAGAGATGGTGGAAATAACAAGAGAAGCTGAATGGACGAGGAGCCTAAGGAGGGGACAGAAGTGCTGCAGGCTCACGATGAAACATGAATGGAAGAGAAGTTCCTTCTTGTGGTGAGCAAGGCAGGTGGAGGCAGAATCCCCTCCTGGTGAAGATACTGAAGATGCAGGATGATGGCCAAGAACTAGAACAGGTGTAAACATACAACAGCTGCAGGGTTTGAGAGGATCCATTCCCATTGTGGAAAAAGATCCTTTGTGGGTAAAATACTATTTAACAGCATCACATGCTACGCTGGAGTCTTTCATGAAAGGAAGAGTCAATCAGTGTGGCAGACCTGACTTCTGTCTTGTTTTAAAAAATGGCCACACTCCCCACCCCCTGGCCTTCAGCAACCCCCCACCCCTCCGCCTGGTCAGTCAGCAGCCAAACACCAGCAAAGAGATCCTGACTCACCAAGGACCCAGACCGATCATTAGCATTTTTTAACAGTAGAATATTTTAGATTGAGGCATGCACATTGTTGTTGAAGACCGTGCTATTCATAGACTAGTCTGGTATAAACATAACTTGTATATACTGGGAACCTGAAATATTTTCTGCGAGTTGCTTTATTGAAACACTGGCTCTGTAGGTTCACGTGGAGCTGAGCCTGCTGGTTCTCTGTGGCTCTTTGTTTCAGATTCTCTCGTAGTCGTTTTTATTGATACCATTTGTTTTTTCCATGCTTTTGCTCATGTTGAAATACTGTCGAATCCTTTGCCAGGATCAACTCCCATTCATTGTAGCAGGTTGATATGTACCACCAAAAGATAGGTACAAAAGATATGTGAATGAGACCTTGTTTGAAAAAAGGGCTTCTTCAGATGTAATTAAGTTAAGGACCTTGGGATGCCATAATGCTGGATTAACCCAGGGGGCCTAAATCCAGTGGCCATTGTTCTCCTAAGAAGAGGAAAGGATGCAGCCAGAGGGTGCACACTGGTGCATGCTGGACGGATGGGGAAGGAAGCTCCCCTACCCTACCACAGCTTCAGTCAGACTTGGGCCTCCCAACTTGAGAAAGCGCATCTCTGTTGGTTTAAGCTGGAGTAATTAGTTCCAGTAGCCTTGGGAAATGAATCCTCTCCTCTTTGAGGCTTGGTTCAGGTGACTTCTGCTTTTGAAGTCTGCCCCGAATCCACAGGGCAGGTGAGAGTTGCCTTTCCTCTGTATGTCCAGAGTACCCTTGCACCCATCACTATGCCCCTGGGACCTGTGTGAGATCCACTGGTGTGTGGCGGCTGATTCTCCATGCCAGGGGATGCCTGGCAGAGGTGGTTCTTCCCTGGCACACAGCAGTTCATATTTGTGTTACACAAAGTGGGCATTGCTCCTCAGGGGCCGTGGCAGACCAGGGTTCCTGCCCCATCTGCAGACGTACTTCCTCTTGAGTCCATATGATATTCAAAGTCCCTCCAGGGTACTCCCCTACCTGCGGCTCTCAGGGGCTCCACACCTCTTGCTCTCAGGCCCTTCCACTGCCCCAGGACTTTGCGCTCATCATGCTCCTCCAGGGGAGCTCAAGTGCTGCTTGTGTTTATATAGTAGCTTTGCTCACGTAAATCCCCTCCCCCACTGCGGAATTCCCACTTCTCTTGGAGGCCTACCTGGCCCCTTTGCCAGGAATGCCATGTTCCCTTCTCACCACTCCATGAGCCTGCGCCTAGTAGTCTGCTGTTGTAGGCATCTGTGCAGACCAGATGGGATGTCTGGGGAGATGGCTTCCCTAGCACAATGGGATCTTCACTTCTGATGTCAAGAGTTGGCTATTTCCCTCTCTCTGTCTCCCTGAGGCCCTAGGGGTGTCCAGTGGGGTGGAGGGCCTTGTTAATTGGGTGTGCTGAGATATTAATTTAATCACCTAACTTAGGTGGGGTCTCCCCACACAGTATTTGTATGACTTTGCTTTTTACAGGATTTTGCATTTCCATGAATGCATCATTGGAAAGCTACCCATTCTACTGGGTTCAAATATAATGGTCTCTTGGGAAAAATTTTCCAGTGGGTAAAACAGTTTAAAGTTTTGGTGAAAAATGTGGGAATTGTTCTTGGGGGAAGAGGACCCCTTTCCTCACCTCTGGGTGGGTAGGTCTTAGTCTTGGGTTGTCCTCATCTGGACACGGGCATAGATTTGTTATGCAAAACCCTTGAAGTTACTGTGATCCTATAATGTGATCCTAAATTATGTCAGATCATAGCACAAGTTTGCATTGGGTTCTCTATAGCTACTGGGAGCAAGAGAGGAAACAAACTTTATCCTAGAATAACCCTCAACTCTAGAAATGTCTATAGCATTCCTTTCCCCTTGGGGAAAGAAGAAATTGTTTTAAAAATCTCGTTTTTGCTCAAATGTACCAATGTAGGGTTAGAAAAATTAGTCTCCAAAATTTCCCTGGCCTTCCCTCTATTGAAAGCATGAAAGCCCAGCAAGAAAGGCTCAGAGTCCTGAGGTTTGAATCCTGCCTCAGTTACTCGCTTTGTAACTTTGAGTAACTGATTAATTTCTCTAAGCATCAGATTGTGCATCCCTGAAATGGAAACATAATAAAACTTCACGAGGTTCTTGAGGATTGAATGCAGTTACCTGGGGAACAAGTTTTAATAAGCAGGGATCATGACTGCTGGAGGATTTGTTGGGAGAGGATCCAGACAGTACCACGGAGCTTCTTCCAGGAAGCTAAGAAAATGAAGTCACCAAAAAACAAACCGAGGATGTGTTCTGTTTGGTTTTGTGCCTCGGGGATTCATATGTGTTACCTCCTTTGCAGAACAACGGGACCACCGAGCACCAGGTAGAATCTTTCATAAGGAAAAAACTGGAGTCACTGTTGAAAGAATCCCAAATCCGAGACAAAGAAGATCCCGACAGCTTCACCGTGAGGGCGCTGCTGAAGGCCACCCACGAGGGCTTGAATGCACACCTGAAACAGGTACGGCTTCCTCCTGCCCTTTTTCTTCTGCGGGCGGCAGACACAGCTCATCTGTGATTTGTGAAAATGCTTCTTCAACTTCTCCCATTTCTATCCTCCTTTCTCTTGAGCAGTGAAAATTCCCTACTCCAAAATGACCTGAGAAACAGGGAAAGTGGATAGGTGGGGGTGAGAGGAGTCCCGCACTGCTTCCTTGGACCCTGAGGACAAGCCCAGAGTCCCTGGGCTCCGGTGAGGGAGCAGGGCAGTGCCTGTGCTTCATGCTCCTCCCCACGCAGCCGCACCCACCCTGTTCAGCTCGCCTCTGAAATGTGCCCTTTTCCTGCCCACTTCTCTTTCCCAAGGTTATATCCTAGTCTAAGCCAAGTTCAGCTCCCACCTGGACCTCTTGCCCCGTTGATCTCACCTCTGCTCTGAAATCAGCAAGATGTTTTAAAAATGCAAATCCGATTATGTCACTTCAGTGGCTTGGGATAAATTGCAAATGCTTTAACCAGACTTTGGAAGTCCCACATAACGGTGTCCTTGCTCTGCCCAGTCTCAGATCTCCTTGTGTCCCCGTCCCATCATCTCCCTCACTGCCACTCTGGCCACACCTTCTCTATGTGCTGTGGTCGTCCTCATGTTCTGAGGGAACGTCCAACCCCAGCCTCAGTGTGATTGGCGAGTCCTGTCTGGATCCTTGGACTTGACTGGCTGTCCCCTTTACTTTGTTCCTAGTCATCGGATGTCTTTTCTTTCCTGAGGGTTTTGTCTGCACATTTGCAGTTATTTGTTTAATGCCTGTCTTCCTGTCTAGACTGTCGATTCTGTGAAGAGAGGAACCACGTCAGTCCTGATAACTGTGATTTTCCTGGCCTATCTAGTATCTGGGACCTAGGGAGAGCTTTGTGAACAGTTGTTGAATGGTTGAGTCCTGGATGAGATATTTATTATGCTTCCTAATAAAAAAAATACCACAAAAGTGGGCAAGGAAGAGGGACAGTGGGATTCTAAATGTCATTGCAGGCTCTTGAGGGCATTTAAGTGGCCCAGAAGGCTTCCCTGTGGCTGGCTGCGCTGCTGACAGCCCTCCCTGCTTCTGCTGCCTGTCCTCCAGAGAGCAGGGCTCCAGGCAGGAGGAAGACCCCGCAGGGCCACCAGCTTGGCCCTCAGGACCACTTGGCATTGCTGGTGGCCCTCCAGACCTTACAGAAGCCTAGCCCTTCAGCCAAGGTGTTCCTCAGGCCTCTTTCACTTCTGTAGAAAACCTGCTTGAAAATGCCTTAGAAGACGGAGGGAGTTGTTGGGTTGGGGACCTGGCAAGTCTGTTGGCAGAGTGGCCCCGGGGGGCTCAATCCAGAGGCTCAGCAGTGTCATCAGGGACCTTTCTTTGTGTTCCGCCTGCTCCATTTCTGTCACCCCAAGTCTGGCTCCCTTTCCCTAGTGGTTGCTGGGTGACTGCCAGCAGCCCTGGGTCTGTGTGCAGGGAGGGTGAGGCCCTGTACCTGCCTCAACCAACAGATCGGCTTTCGTGCTGAGCCAGTCCCTGAGGCCTGGGTAAGAGTCCTTCCTGAAACGTGGCGAGGGTGCAGGATAGCCTTACCCTGGAAATTGAGGCAGCTTCGGCTCCTCCCCTGCTTCCTGTTAGAGGGCAGCTGGGTCTGGGCAAGCCACCCAAAGGTCAGCTGCGATGCTGCTGCTCTTACAGTTCATGTAATTTTGGGCTTTCTTAAAATTTCAATAGATAGTGAAACTGCTCAGCCATGTCCTCTCCAGCTATCTATATTCAGCCACCCAGAGCCTGTAAAGTGACATTGGCTGGCCCACTTGATTTTTTCTTCTTAGTGCACTCACGCTGCCCATCTGGGCCCATTATTTCCCCATGTGCTTTGGAAGCCTTTGCCCTAACTTGATCATGTCCCCTGGAAAGGGAGCCACAGGTCTGGAAGAAGTAAATGAAGCCCATCTTTCTTTTTCAATTCATCGAAGAGATCCTAAGGAAAACTTCCCATCAGGTAAAATGGAAAGGGAACCTCACGTTTCAGAGATGCACAGAACCCATCTCCTGGTGTTTTATGGTTCACTTTCTCTTAAATCTGGGCTCCAGAAGACACGTACAATTCCTGGAGCCCCGTGACTGTGCGGAGCTGAGGTCTTTAGCACTGCTCGGGTACTTCCCAGTGCTGTTCTGGTTGTGTGGCACGTAATGACAGGGTGCTGTGGAGACCTGTGCCAGAGGCACATGTGCTTAAATGCACGGCCGTGGGTACTCCGAGAGCCCCAGTGAGCCAGCAGCCACTGCTGTCTGGACCATCATTAGGCCATGCAGGGTTCTGCTTGTGCTTTTTCCTGAGACCCTGAAGGAAAATAAGAATGAGGTTTTCCTTCAGGCTGAAGAACTTCTTGCATCTGGTCCTTTCTTCTTCTGAACTGCGCCTGCTCAGGGTCCAGTGGTTAACCTGTTGCTCTCTCCCGGGATCACTGCCAAGGGAATCATTTACATGAACAGAGAAGCTTTGCTGTGGTTCACTTTGGATTGCTGTTGTTTGTTTGTTTGCCTGTCACCTCATAGATATGCTTGCATTTCACTTATTGTCAGAGTTTAAAATCCCACCTAGCTGTGTTCAGTGTGACTGTTTTCTTTATTCAACAGATTTGGCTCTTAAAGACTCTTGGTCATTTTCCAAAGTTAAACCTCTTGACTAGAGACGCTTTGTCCCCACTCAGGCATCCAGGAGGCATTCACACTTGCACTGTGGACAGTCTGGTGGACAGGACTGTGAGGGCCAGCACAGGGTCCCTGCTGAGAGCCTGGGAGCTGTGGGCCCCAGCTGCATCCACGACAGCATCCCTTTTCTGCAGCAGAGCCAGATCCATGGGGGCAGTGGAGGGGCAGAGCAGGAGGAAATGAGCAGGGCCTGTGGGAGAAGGGTCCTCCTGCCCTCCTGCTGGAACTCGGGATGAAAAAAAGAAGAGGTGGTAACTGTGTCATGCCTTTATTTACTCAGAATCCAGATGTGAAGGAGAGTGGAAAGAAGTCCCATGGGCGCTCCCTCATGACCAACTTCGGAAAGCACAAGGTATGGCATAAGAGTGAGAATTCAGTGAACGTGAAGTTTCTGAAGGGTGGCAGGAGACCATTGTGGTGGCCTTGGTATAGGTGCAGCTCTCTTAAATAGGACCCAGAAAAGGGAAGAAAGATCAAAATTCAAACTACCTTAAAACTGAAGAACATCTGTTATCAGGTTGCATCCTAGAGAAGATTGTTTTGAATGCACATATCCAAGAAAGGAATCTATCCTGAATATGTAAACAGTCTCTACAAATCACTAAAAGGGACAGGCAAACTCATTTTGAAAAAATGGGTCAAAGGCCTCAACAGACACTTCACACAAGCAGCTGTCCAGATGGCCAAAGGGAAGAGGTGCTCCCTTCTCAGCCGTCTGGGAAATGCAAGTTTCAACCATGGTGCGATTCCACACATGCCCACAGGGTGAGGTGACACAAAGATGGCAGCACCAAGAGCTAGTGAGGAGGCCAGGAAACCAGGCTCTCTGCTTTGCCAGGGGGCATGCGTGCTTTTGAGGCTCTCATGTTGCATAGTATGTGCTGACGATACACTGCCATGTAGCAGTCCCACTGTCAGGCTTAGGTCTAGATACAGAACCCGTATTTATGAGGGCTTTATTTGTGATAAATAGTCCTGAGAGGAAGCAGGCCAATGTCTATCCACAGCAGAGTGGATGAGGGAGGGGCAACTTCACCTTAGGGAGTACTTGACAGCCATGAAAAGGACACTGTCTGCAACAGTTGACAATCTTCATAAGCACGAGGCCTAAGAGCACCACAGCTCAATTCCATGTGCAGGAGTTCAGAGCCAAGCAGGCCCCTGTGGGGTAGGATGAGGAGAGCCAGGGCCTCCTTGCTTCAGCCGAATCTGACGGTGAATCGGAGGGTTGGGCTGCCTCTGGGACAGGCGATGGTCCATGTCCCTGCAGGAGTGTCTTCCCTTTGTGCACTCATGACTGTTACACATCACGGAAAAGGCAAAAAAATGTGCCAGAAATCAGTTATGGGATTGTGAACTGCAAGTTACCTCCGGGGTTCCTGTGAGCCCATTTCTACTCCTGTAAGGAATGTCATCCTGGGATTTCCTGCCGGTCAGTGGGGTGATTTGTTAATGGGCTGGACAAATCAGTCAGGACAACCCCAAATTGAAAGCAGCCAAAATATTCATTCATAAAGACTGTAAGCCACGATTCATTTGCATAATGGGCAATTATACAACCATTGAAAGATGATTTCTCTGAAGACCTCAACATGGAAACATTAAATAAAAAAGTAATATGAAAAATGGGTTTTTGGAAAAACCATTTTAGAAAAATGGGTTTGGGGAATAACCAGTTTTGATGCATCAAAACTGAAAGTGTGAAAAATGTATCATCAGATCTCCAGATGTTATATGTCATTGGTGATTCATTTCTCATTTCTGCTTTTTATTTTTTATAACAAAAACTACAGATTTATTATTGCAATACCTCAGATTCCTAACTACAGATTGAATATCTCTATCTGAAATCCTTGCAACCAGAAACATTTTGGATTAAGGATTTGGGAGAGAGGATTTTGGGATACTTGCATATACATAATGAGGTACCTTGGGGATGGAACCCAAGTCTAAACAAGAAATCCATCCCTGTCTCACGTACACTGTATACTCAAGGTCTTGAGGTGATTTTACTCAGTATTTTCAGTGCCCCTGTGTCCTGGCTATGCCCCATCTTATGGGGTCAGGTGTGGAATCTTCCACCTGTAGTGCCATGTCAGCACTCAGAACATTTCAGATTTTAGAGCATTTTTAATTTTTGGATTAAGGGAGCTTAACCTTTATATGTAGAATTAGAGAATATTTCATTTCACTCTGTGTGTGTGTGTGTGTGTGTGTGTGTGTGTGTGTGTGTGTGTTACTAGGAATTGAACCCAGGGCCTGGCACATACTAAGCAAGAGATCTTTCACTAAGGTACATCCCCGGCCTATTTTTTAAAAATTTTTTAGACAGGTCTTGCTAAGTTGCCCCAGCTGACCTTGTACTTGAAGTGCTCCTGAGACTTTTTCACTTCTGAAAACAACATATCATTAAGATTAAGATGTTCTCCCAACATGGGTGTATAGGAGGGCACTTGAGCTACTATAATGTGAGGGTTTAGCACATCTAAGTCACGAGTGTGAAGAGTTGTCCCCAGGACTGTGTGGATCAGTGTGAAGGGTTTCCTCTTGCGTTGAAAACTCGTCTGCGTGGCTTACAGGATGGCCTCTGTGTCCTCTCACTCAAGTTACCACAACTGTAATCCTGTAAAACAGGAGTTGCCACGCCTGCCTTAGAGACACTGGAGGCAGCCAGGGAAGGCAGCTATCCAGAGCACAGCGGAGGGCTGAGCTGGATGCGAGAGTGGACGCTGCACATGGACGCCCACTTCCAAACATGCTCAGGCATAAATAACTCCAAGAAAGTTCCAACCAAGCCAGCCTGTCCCTGTCAGTGTGGCCGTGGCCGAGTCCCCCATGTAGCCTCTTTTATTTGGTATGAGAAAATCTGGAAGCTGACGTGGTCGTGTCATGTGGGATAGACTCCCTTCCAGGTGTCCAGAGCACTCTGAAGTTCTGACCTTTGTCTCTGGAAGCTTTTTTGCTTTTGATGGCAAAGTTTTCACAACTACTGGGTCCCTCTCCATCACTTGTACTGTGTGCTGCCTAAGGATTAGAGCTGTCCCTGAAGTGGCGGGGATGAAACCACATGGTACCCAAGAGGCTTTGTGTTTGAGCTCTGATCCGCCTAGAAGACCTTATGTCACATCTGGAGCTGTTCAGCCTGCATCCTGGGCCGGCGGTATTTACTGTGCTACTGGAAATAAAATGGGTCATGATCTCCAAACAATAGTGTGACTTGGATAGTTGCTGGAATGCACTGATCAAAGCCAGGGATGGTAACTATTCTTTTCTTTTTTCTTTCTTTTTTTAATGCCCAAACTGCCTTTTATCACTCATTAATCAATAGTGGGCTTCCTACATGAAACAAAATTTCCCCCTTATAATTGTTTAACTATATATTGCAACTTTGACCCTCACCCTTGTAGAGAACTTCAAAATACATGACTGACAAGGTTTTCCTAAGTTTTCAGTTTTATGTGGCTTAGAAATTAGTTTTCTGAACACAAAATCCTCAGTCCTGCATCATTTTATATATATAGTTTATTATTTCATAGTGCTTATTATTTTACAGTGAAGCGAGCTGCAATATTTGGTCAGTTTTTTTCCTTCCAAGTTAGTGTGTAGGTGTGCGTTCAGTGCTGAGGATTGAACCCCAGGTCTTGCACATGCTAGGAAGTACTCTACCACTGAGCTAAACCCCAGCCCCTGTGTGTGTGTGTGTGTGTGTGTGTGTGTGTGTGTGTGTGTGTGTGTGTGTGTCTCCAGTCATTTTCCTTTATGCTGTAGATGCACCTCATTTGGTAAGTTTATTAAGTTTACTGTGATTATTTTTGACAGAAAACCTCAAAGTCACGGTCTAAATCCTACAGCACTGATGACGAGGAGGACGCTCAGCAGAATCCTGGCCAGCTGTACAGGTAGGAGGCCCTCTATTCTGCTAGCTTGGTTGTGCAGTTGTGTGTGTCTGGAGGAGTGAATCCCAGGGCATGGTGCTCAGGTGAAAGGTGGAGGTCAACTGGATTCAAGGTAGCAGCACATGCAGGGAACCTTTCACCTGACCTGGCTTTTAATGAGGTGGTGATAAGTGCTAGCTGTGGCCACTGTAGGGGAAAGGCATCTTCAGAGAAGGGGGAATGGACATGAGTGGACAGGGGCTGCCACTGGAGACAAGGGGCATGACGGGTGCTGGCCTCATGTTCATAGGCAGGGACCTGAGCTCGCCAGATGTCATGTTTCCGTTCTCCAAACTCTCACATGGGCAAGTTGAGGTCCTTGTTTGTGTCTCTCTCTTAGGGACATTAGAATGATTAAGTGCATAGTGTAGTCAGCCTTGGCCCCACAAAATAAGTGCTCAAAAATATTAGCTATCAGTTTTTAAAAATTATTGTTGCCAATAATCTTTGTGATGAGTGAAATGACCATATTTTCAGAACCCAAATTGTGACATGATCTGATATGGGATTTCTTGGTGTTTCATTTATACAACAAGTTTCACGAAGGAATGCAAATTGTGTCATAGCCAGATAGAATGAATACATACATGAATGTCTGTATCTTTATTTTGAAAGTTGAAATTAGAAGCACAGGGACCTGTAGATATAAAACTTTGGTGCTGAATTAGACTATATATTTGAGCTCCAACAGGATATCTACACATAAAATAGTAACAAATGAGTAAGATCAGAGAAAGCGTGTGTGATCCTACGAATATGTTCCCTGAGGGAACAGAAATCAGATACTAATAAAGGATAAAGGCAAATAGCATTACCTTTCAGAAGACCTCTGCTATAAATGTTCTTGAACAGAGGAATGAGGAAAGCTTACCTCTGAAACACAGCCAGGGGAGGGACAGTGTTGAGCCACACCAGTCGTGATGTTGACCTGAGACATCATGGTGGACATCACCTGGAGTCATGCCACATGCTGCTCTTGGGTCAGTTGTGGAGTTGCACATTACAGCTGCCAGAGCCCGAGCATCTCTGGTGGTGTCCCTTTGGGACTCCATTAACCTGGTCTAGTCTCGAGATGAAGACTAAAAAGAGCCTCCCTTGATGCAGAATGCATACATGAGGTGTCTGGGAGGTGTCTTGTAAGTTCTAATCATGACCTCACATAGTTTTAAGAAAGTTAAAGAATATGAAGAAACCAGTCACAGTGGTGCACACCTGCAATCCCAGCAGCCTGGGAGGCTGAGGCAGGAGAATCTCAAGTTCAAAGCCAGCCTCAGCAACTTAGAGAGGCCTAACTTAGCAAGATCTTGCCTCAAAATAAAAAATAAAAAACCGGTTGGGGATGTGGCTCTGTGGCTGAATGTCCCTGGGCTCAATCTTGGGTACCCCAAAAGAAAAAATATATATGAAAAAAAGTATAAAGAAAAAAAGGACTTGTAATTACATGTTTATAAGGCCATCACTATGGAAATGGCTGTGCCTTCCCCTTTAGATGTATCATCTTTGGCCCACGGTGCAGGGTTTCTGTTGCCCTCCCTGCAGTTGACCCCAGGTGTGTGTGTGTGTGTGGGGGGGGTCCAAGCCCTTCACAACAGAACCCACCAGCGCAGGAGAAGCTGGTGTGGATGGCAGAGCTGCGGGTAACACATTGCAGGACGATGTGGTGGAAGGGGCGCCCAGCTGGGATACGCTGGGTTTTCCTCTCGGCTCCACCAGGACCAGGCAAGGTCCTTATTTGTTCTTTTAAGCAGAGAAAGTGGGGGAGCCCATAGTTAAGCCTTTGCAGCTCTAACATGTCCGGGACCGTGGGTGTGTGCTCCACAGGCTGGGCCGCAGGAGGAAGACCATGAAGCTGTGCCGGGAGCTCTCCGACCTGGTGGTCTACACAAACTCCGTGGCCGCCCAGGACATAGTGGACGACGGTAAGGACGGAGAGTTTTCATCCCGCTCCGTGGAAACACTCTTGACCTTTCTTTGTCAATTCTGAATTAATTCTTTGCTAATCCTATCATTGCTGCGCATTCCTGGGACTATGTGGAATCTGATCTGAGTGTCAGGAAAATGATTGCTGATATAGTTCTGAGCTCCCGTGGAGGGCTGTCTTGATAATGGTGGTGCCTGATTGACACACAGGCAGGCAGAGAAGGTTCCCACAGGGCCAAGGAGGATTTCAGTATTATAAAAAGATCAGTGTGTGAGGGCAGGGCCTTTCCCTGATGCTGGGGAGACCCAGCCTGGAAGAATAGGTCATAAGTGGCTGTTCTGAGTGTGAGTGACCAGAAGAAATAACAAATTAATTGGCTAAACTAGCACTTTGGAAGGCCCTGCATTTTTTCACTGAAAGTTTTGACTTTGATTAAAGTCGTTTAATCCTTAGACTGAAGTTTTCCCACAAAGCAGAAAGTTCAGCAGGACCGACTCTTTTTTAAAATTTCTCAGTTGCCATATTAAGCTGAGAAATTCTAGTCACAGCCTTCTCTCACCTTTGATTTGCCTTCTGCTTGCTTCTTTCCTTTGTCTTCTATTGCATGGAGTTATGGAGTGCATATTGAAATAGCCTATGGTCACTTGGTGCTTCAAACTAATTTTGATTTTAGTGAAAATGGAATGTAGATCAGAGTCTCCAGTGTCTCAGCAGCTCAGTGATGAGGCTTGGGTCTCCGAAATCTTCAGGATTCATCATCCACGACTTCTTCTCTGCTGTGCTCCATGAGTCTGTCTTTTTCTATTTGAAGAATAGAAATTGTCTTTCTTCCTCTTGGAGTTGATTCCTTCTTCAGATGGTGACAGCTATTGAAGATTTAAATTGATTTCACATGTGAGATTATGAGAAACCTTAAGATTCTCAGCAAGTGAATACACATTTTTAAAATTGCCCACAGCTCAAAAATAAACTCAGTTGAATGAAGTTAAAGGTACATTTGGCTTAGAGAATGAATCTTTCAGGTAATTGCCTTTGGGAAACATAAACCTATTAGCTGAATGGAAAATAATCTTTGGTGCTGTTTAGCTCTTAAACTTCAGCTGTTTTTGTCTTTTTTTTTAAGCCACAAAATAAGCAATAGATAGTGTGTAGCTTATCCTTGTGCAAAATGACACAATTCTGTTAGTAACCCTGAGGACAGCAGGTGTCCGAGGGGCCGTGTGTGCCAACAAACATGTCCAGTCTAGCTGTGGTTCAGGCCCACTTGGCTCGGCAAGACCAGAGTTCATCTCCTGGTTTCAAGGACTTTCTATCTCTGTCGAGTTGTGGGCACTTATGGGTCTCCTTCTGGGCTGCCCTTTTCCAACAGGCCCAGAAGACATAGGAGTGGTCAGTTCAGGGATGGGGTTTGGAGATTTGTGAAGGAGCGGTGATAGGGCACGGTAAACACGGTTCAGAATGTGGGCTTGAGAAGAAAGGGTGGGGCATATGTGGAGGTTTACTTCATCATGACCCCCAAACTCGAAGTGCCCTCAACCCCAACCTTCCATGATAGTCAACACAGAGACCTTGGGAAAGGTGGCACCTGGTTTCACCTGTCTTGTTTTCATTTTATAAGCCTGGCTAAGTAGATGATCACCCTTGTTTCTGAAACTGTGTTTCTTTTTAGTGCCCTTTGATCGTCCTTTTTCCATTATTATTTCTTGCTTCCAAGTTCTATTTCAAATCAGCTTTAAACCTCAACTTTGAGTTTTTTCCTCGATGGTCTTTTTCCTTTACTTTCTTAGACCCTGGATGTTATCAGTTAGTGCATGTTTCACACATGCCTTTTAAATGAATGTCCATGGTTATCAGGAATAAGTTAGGAACGTACTTTTATTTCTCCATTGTGGTCTTTATCTGTTTGAGTCATGCATCTAGAAATAGTTTTTCTTTCTTACCTCTCATGCTCACCAGGTAGCCATGTGTTATTGGAAGATGGAATTCTGGGGAAAACGTGGGACCCAGATATGGACAGGTGCCATACCAAGTGCACAGTTCTGATTTGGCCTTAGATTGGCAAGAGTCAGAGGAATGGAATTTTATGGGTCTTTCTTAGCCAGGAATCCCTTCTACCCTGGTGTTAAATGAATCGACTTTGGTCTAAAATTGCCTTCATGGATGATTTAATTTTGTCCTGTGGTTTCTCCTTGTGTAGTGAGTGAACTGCATCCTCACGTGATATGCAAACAGACTGTAACCTACCATTGTGACAGTAGCCGAGTCTTGGCCAGTCATAGTGGTGACCGTTCACATGACAAACGAGAGCTGTACTACCTGGGCTACCTGCCTCAGTTGCCTTTCTGTGTGTCACATTCTTTACTCTGACTCTAACCAGACCTGCCCATGAGATGGGTGGGGTGGCTGAGCCTGGTTTGACTTTAGGGGGTGTCACCATGTGCGAATTGTTCCTTGCAGCTAGACTCTGTTGAATTTAGTAAGACTAAGGTTCTTCACGGAGCAGGGGGAGTCGGCCTTTTCACTGCTTTCCGTGAACACTGAAATTGTAGTCTTTCGTGAGGGATGCTTATTTTCTGCAGTTCTCACTTTTCTATTTTCTTTATTGAAAACCACCAGGAACCACGGGAAATGTGTTATCCTTCAGTGAAACGAGAGCACATCAGGTGGTCCAGCAGAAATCCGAGCAGTTCATGATCTACAACCAAAAACAGCTCACGAGGATCTACCCCTCGGCCTACCGCATCGACTCCAGTAACTTCAACCCTCTGCCCTACTGGAACGCAGGCTGCCAGCTAGGTGCGTGCCTCTAGAGCCGTGCTCTGTGCTCTGACTGCTGCCCGCCTTGCCTAACTCTCTCAAACTTTGAACTTACACAGTGGCACTCAACTACCAGTCTGAAGGGCGAATGATGCAGTTGAACCGCGCCAAGTTCAAGACCAATGGCAACTGCGGCTACGTCCTCAAGCCCCAGCAAATGTGCAAAGGTGGGCGTGAACTTCAGCTGTGTCTCTCAGTGCAGGTGAACTCTGTCAAAAGATGCCCTTGTGAGACCCCAGTGTTGTGCAACACAGCTTCAAAAAGTATTTTTATTTCTAATTGGCATATAGTAATTGTACATGTTGACGGGGTGCGGTGTGTAATGATCCAGTGAGGGTAATTGGCATATCTGCCTCCTCAGACTTATTTCTTTGTATTGAGAACATTCAAAATCGTCTCCTAGCTATTTTGAAATATTCATTTATGTTGTCAACATGGTTGTCCTGCTGTGCTGTGTAGAACATGAGAAGGCTCCTCTTCCTGCGCACCCTGGTGGCACTGCAGTCATGGCTTCTTGTTGGGCCATCAGAGCCTCTGGGGCATGGGTTCTGATGAGACCCAACTGGCACAGCCTCTGGCACAAGCTGAGCCCAGATATGTGATGACTCTATTGTCCTAGGGCACACTCATGACTTGCGCATATTGGTTCTTTGTTTTGAGAGCTTGACTCTGTGTATTTCCTCCCACTGACTGGCCTCCGCTTCTCTTGGCCTAGGTACTTTCAACCCTTTCTCTGGCGATCCACTTCCTGCCAACCCCAAAAAGCAGCTCATCCTGAAAGTGATCAGTGGACAGCAGCTGCCCAAGCCTCCAGACTCCATGTTCGGAGACCGCGGTGAGGTGAGCCGGGGGGCCCTGAGTGGCTGAGGGCTCGTGGTGAGATTGTTCCATCCTGTTGGTGTTTCCTCTGAAACGTAGTTGGGCGTGTGCGCACAGCCGCGTTCATAGGTGGGCGCCGGCCTCAGCTCCTCTGGTGTGGACACACTGGCACGTCACACATTGCCTGCTGGACTGTGCCTATGTTGGGGGCTTGAGTCCCTGATAGCCAGCTCTCCCGGAGTTCAAGACTGACCCTGGCAATGAGGCCAGGTACAGAGGATGGTTTCATTGCCGACAGAGCCACCATCCAAGAACCAGTCCATCCTCCCACACTTCTCACCTCTTGCCAGCCACGTGCTCCTTGTCTCCTGCGGCACCTCTGTGGTCCAGTGGAAATGCTGCCCTCTGTGACCACAGCCTCCTTCCACAGGGTCACAGGCTCACAGCTGATCCTGGCCTTCTTGGTCTGTCTTCTCCCCACCTGTTGGCCCTTCCTGTGCTCTCGTCCTTTCTCCCAGGGCTGGTCCATCATTCCAGCTGGGCTCCGTACACAGGGGTGTGCATGTGTCCCTGTTGCATGATGACTGTAATTCTTTAGGGTAGATGCCGTGGAGTGCTACAGCTGGGTCATATGATGGGTCTATGCCTTGTCTTTTGAGGAACTCCGTGCTGATTTCCAGAGTGGTTGTGCTAATTTGCAATCCCACCAGCTGTGTTACAGTGCTCCTTTTCCTCCATATCTTCTCCAGCATGTTGTTTGTATTCTTGAGGGCTGCCATTCTAACTGGAGTCAGATGAAATCTCAGTATGGTTTTGATTCACATTTCCCCGATTGCTACAGATATTGAACAGTTTTTCATGTTTGTTGGCCATGTCTTTTCTTCTTTTGAGAAGTGTCTCTTTCGTTCATTTGCCCATGTATAGATTGGAATTTCTGGTCTTGGCGGTTAAGTTCTCTGAGTTCTTTGGTGTCTTCTGGATATTAATCCCCTATCTGAGGATCTCCCGTTCTCTAGGCTCTGTTCATGCTTTTGTCTGCTGCTGTGCAGAAGCGTTTTGATTTGATGCCATCCTGTTATTGCCTGAGCCTTAGGAGGCTGTGATTGGTTGGCCCCTCTGCTTTGAGCCTCTGTCGAGGCTGCATGTCCTGGCAGGAGAATTGGCATAAGGACACTGCTCACCTTATCAGGAGGAAACCAAAAGGAAGAGGAGGAGCAGGGACAGCCCCCTGCCAAGCAACACCTCAGTGACCTAAGGACCTGTGCCAAAGTCCTCATCAAGGGTCCCACCACTTCCCTACAGTGTCTCCCTGGGGACCAAGCTCTAAACACCGGGGCCTTTGTGGGACACTTATCCCACTTGTAGCATACATCTCTGCAGCCACTGGCTCCGGGGACTTCTGCCTCTGGAGTCTCCCCAGCCTTGCTCCCTTTGTCTGAGTCCAGTGTTGTGGGGGTCTCACCTGATTACAGGGGATTTGGTAGACGTGGCTCTCAGGCTCACAGACGTGGAAGCTGAAGCTCACGGTCACAGGACACACCCAAGCCAGCACCAGAGCCCCCGTCTTAGGCAGTAGGTAGCTCTCCAGGCCTGCGGTGCTGGATTCTTGGACCAGAAATGTTTTCGTTAGGTCCCCCAGAATCCCAGCAGCCAGGTTACCACGAAGCTCTGTTCAAGGGAAAACATGGTGGCCTAAAAAACAAGTCATAGACGAAGAGTGAACTATGATCCTGTGTTTGGAAATGAAAAGGACTGTGCCTAGCCTAGTCCCCTTGTTTCCTGTCATGGCTCAGCCCTTGGTCCCCACAACGGCTGCCCTCAGACTCCCGCAACAACAGCACTCTCAGAGCTCCTAAATGCTCCTGGGCGTCCAGGGCGCTCCCTGTTAGGCCTTCCCAGAGCAGCTCCCCCTGGTCTTGGGTCTTTGTTTCCTCCCTGCTCATCGCCCAGGACCTGCCCCACAGAGGAGCACTCACAGAGGACCAGCAAGCAGCCTCCTACCTGGACAGAGGGTGTGCAGCAGATGAGATGTGCATACGTGTTTAAACTTTAACTTTTTTAATCTTAATACTTTTAAGTTTACATTAAAATACACAATCAATTTAACTCCTTTAAGGTATATATATATATTGATTGTGTATATATATAAATGGATAGCTTAATGGGTTTCTAAGCCACCCAGGTCAAGAGTACATCTGGGGCCTAGAAAGCCCCCACCCACCTCCCACCTTGGCATCTCCCCCAACCCCATAGTGAACGCCAGCCCCATGGCAACAGAACAGGTTTACCTACTGACAACTTGATGTAAACGGATTCTCCTTGTAAGTGCTCATTTACGTCTGACTTTCCACCATTATGTCCACAAGGCAGTATTTTGTTCTGTTTTAAAATTTTTGTGTAACATTATTGAATGGCTATTCCACAGTGAGTCATCTCCCATGGTACATCCAGGTGGCTTCCAATGCTCCACTGTTAGGGATACAGCCACCAAGAGCATCTGTCCTTAGGCAAACCTCTTTTCTCCTGGGTATGGACCCTGGGCTGAAATTGTAGGTTCATGGGTATAGTGTATGCAACATTGACAAATATCACCTAACAATGATTTAGCATCCTTTCTGTTATTCCTGCCTCCTGTATCTGCTTCTGCTACACCTAGCAACTGCCTAGTAAAATTGGTTATTGTTGAGATGTGGACATTATAGCCAATATTCCCAAAATAACGAGCCCTCGAGTTGACATTTACTTCTTTTTTAAGTTGTAGATGGTCACAATATCTGTATTTATTACTTATTTATTTTGATGTGGTACTGAGGCCCAAACCCAGGGCCTCACCCCCATGAGGCAAACACGCCACCACTAGCTACAGCCCCAGCCTGACATGTATTGTTTTTATCGATACTTTCTTTGCACTTGTAGATCATCGACCCATTTGTTGAGGTTGAGATTATCGGACTGCCAGTAGACTGCTGTAAAGATCAGACTCGAGTGGTGGACGACAATGGTAAGGGGAAGACCTGGGCTCACTCGTGGCAAGAATGTTCTAGAACTAGAATCTTCCTGGAAAGAGAAAATTCTTCCTGTTTAGCAGAGCAGCACATTCCTAGGATCTGCAATTGCCATTAGTTTCGTTTGTGGGGATGTGAAACTAAAGATGTGCTGGGAGCTTACTTCCCCAATGTGTGCTGTGGCCAACGGGCCACGTTTTTCTCATAAAGAGTTTTTCTCTATGTAGTCTAAAATTTTATGTGTTTGTTCATCCACTGGGTAAACATTTTACATGCTTATTTTTCTCAATCTCTAGTTGTGAATATGCTAAAATAATTTTTAAACCACGTTCATCCAAACATTTGAGGAATTTGTGGTTCATCGGGAGACCTTGATGGTGGCAGTTAAGAGCAGGTCACACTTCTTATTTATCAAGTAACATGCTTAAGAAAGCCATCTTCCTATACTGTATTTTCCTACTAGTGCTCAATAAATTATTCTTTCTTTTCTTAGTCACAGATGTAACTGAGAGGTCATTACAAAGTCAACAAAAGGAGAATCTCCTCTATTGTTCAGGAGGAGCCTCTCAGTGATTTTTAGCCTATAATTATTTCATTAGCTTGAGGTTTTTTATAGGGCAAAGTGGTTGATACCTCCTGAATACATGCATTTAACAAGACTTATTTTCACTTTTTAGGAAGGAAAAACCAGAAACTAATAGAGTACTTAAATTTCTAATGTTTTTTGTAATTATCTGAGAGGATTTCACCAACAAATAAATGTATTTTTGCCTTTTAGTATTTGTCATAGTCTATTTTCTATTGCTATAACAAAATGCCTGAGCCTCATTACTTGAAAAGGTTTATTTAGCTCACAAATTTGGAGACTGAAAGTCCAAATAGCAAAAGAGTTCCTTTGGCTGCGTCACATGGCACACATGGCAGAAGTGGGAGATGATAGGGGAGTACAGGAAGTAGGAGAGGAGGGCAGATGATAAGGGAGCACAGGAAGTAGAGAGCAGGGCAGATGTGATAGGGGAGCACAGGAAGTAGAGAGCAGGGCAGAT